GTATTTTTAAAAACCTTCGAATATTTGAAAGGACTACTTTTAATTGTTTTGTTATTAATTTTTGAAAAATCAAAAACATCAAAAAGATTTTCTTATTATTTTGTTCTTCCTTTTTGAAAAATCAAAAACAAGAAAAAGATTTTGTTTTCTTCTTTCTTTTCAAGTACGATGTTGCAGATTTTCATGAAGATACAAAGTGGTCAAGGCTTACAGTTCTAGGGTGAGGTACATTTATCATTCTATTCTTTGAATTTCAAATTTTTTAACTAGTTAGGATGTACCTAGAAGCATGTTGTTGCATGTTGTCCGAAGCCACAAAATGACTCAATGTTTGAAAGCCTTAATGAAATTTTCATACGAAGATTTCATCCTAATTAGGTTAACATTCGCATTAGTCCAATGAGCTACCTTACTCTTCTCAAATGAGTTAAGCGTTTTCTATTTGGTCCAATATAACAGAGGTACATGTTTCTTCATATACCAATCTTTTTCATCTCAAAGTTCTTACACCATCACACACGAAGACATATGTCCAAGAGGTTTCTGATCAAACCAATCGAAACTTAGATATATCACAAATCCGTGGTTATGATCAGACATCATGAGACCGTGATGGAAGTGAAACCCAATGTAATCAAATTTTAAGGAATTGATGGGGAACTTAGTTCCAGATTTTACCGAAACATTTGTTTCTGTACCTTCATTCAAAACTCCAGATCATATTAAATTCTTATGCGTGGTCTTGATCAAACATTCGAAACCCATGATGTTTGTTACCCAATAGAATCCAGAATACAATTTTTTTTCTTGAATATGATTTTAGCGTGAGTTTTATCTGAAATTCCTTGTTACTTAAAAAAATTTCGAAGCAAACTTGTCATTGACTACACTGGTCAAACAATTAATTTATGTTACAATTACTCACCTTATGTTTAGGTTGATATGTATCGAAACTCATTAAACCACCACAAAAGCCTTTTAAAAGAAGACCCTTTGATACTTATTTACAAGTATTCGATTGTAATTCATGGGAAAATACACAAGCTGTTGATTATCTCTTTAGATAATTAACGAAGCAATCTTTTCCCAGGGTTTTAACTGCTTTCGTGTCAAATTGAATTTTTGACATCACTGAATATCCAACTTTTTTTAAATTGCTTCTTGTCTTTATTCTTTGACACACTTGACACACACGAAATCCTTGAGGTTCTGAGTAATACCAACTCAAGATTATGATTTCAAAAATCTGGTAAATGACTTTACTTTGAAACCAGAAAGTAAAAGAACCTTGACTCCATCCGAAGGGTTCCAACGGTTACTATTCTATTGGGGCAAACAATCCAGGCTGTTGGAAGAGACTGTTTGAGTTCCATGCGGGTTTTAAGGAGATGTGACAGTTACTTTATCACGCATGGTTACTTTTTCATCATCATGATGCGGGTTTCATGGTGACACATCACAGATCATTAACTGCTTATCCCGCTTTGATTTCAAAATTCAGCATTACATATAAAAGGGGATTCAAGGGTTCATTATCAGTTTACGCTTTCATATTCCCAAATTTTCTCTGATAAACATCCAACTCTCAAACCCTAACAATGGCGACTGCTAATCCTGATGCAACTTTGTCTCATACCACCGATGATGTAACTTCATTGTCGATCATGAAGATTCAAGGAATAAATTATCAAGTTGAAGCCAACGTATCTCACTATCCCAAAGAACTGAAAATGCTTATCGTTGCTCTGAAAAGTTCCATTTTATCAAAAGCCATGTTCAACTCATTCTTTGTTCCTCTATCATGGTTGTCTCAAGCGGGATCAACATCAACTTACTCTAAAGCCTTGGATTCAGTGTTGTTTAATCTGGTGACTGATAAGAAGGTTAGACTTTCCAAGAAGCTTTTCTGCCAAATTCTTCAGATACCTAATTCTCCACCATACATCTCTTTTACATTCCCACAAAGCGTCCATATGTTCAATGAAATGGGTCATCAACCCCAGCTGACAAAAATTAGTGATTTCAAGAAGTCAGGACTTCCGAGTGTATGGAATTTATTGTTCGGTATTTTTCTTAGATGCTTGACCGGTAGAACTGTTGGTTTGGATAAAGGGTAGATGGAAGTTTATGCAATGGTTTCAGGTCTATACTACGATCTTCAGGTCGATTATTCTACTCAATTATAGAAGGAGTTCTTGAAAAGTATAGAGAACACGAATGCTATTCATGGCATTTCGTGTGCTCGTTATTGGAGCTTGATTCTACAACATTTTTATGAGAAGGAAGGAATTTTGGTACCAGTAGATGAAGAAAAGGTGGTGTTTCATATATATAGTTGTCCGAAGGATGCAACTGACGATACTGATGAATTCCCATTTGTTGTTCGCATTCCGGATGCTATACTGAAGAGAGTTGATCCCACTAACACCGTTCTCATTACTTATTTGAAAAACATTGATACTTCTGTTGAAACCGGGGTTCTATTGGCTAGAGAGGAAGAAAAGAAGTCGAAACGTTCGAAGAAGGTTGTTGCTGAATCTTCTACGAAATATGTTAAAGAATCTACATCAACAAAGAGTTCGAAGAAAGTACCAATCTCAGAGCCTGAGCCAATCCAACCAGATGTTGTTATTGCTGATACCCCTTCGACTCAAAAGGAAATTATTCCTTCGAAGATTGGAGTTTTTCAAATAATCAAGATGAAGTCTAAGCACAAGAGTCGCTCACCTTTTACCAATATTGTTTGTAAACCACAAGTTTCACATCAAGGAGTCATCTTTCGTGAGATTCCTAACCCTGCATCACCGTCTTCAAAGAAAAGAAGGGAAACAGACATGGCCAAACATATTTCAAAGAAGAAGAAGAAGAAGGGTAGAGTGATTATTTCATCTGAATCTATAGCTGATGAAACTGAAACCATTTCATAGACACCAGAAGCTCGTCTTCAAAAAGATGATGTAATACCACCCAAAGTTTCGATTGCCAAGACAGTTTCTGTGGAGGCACAAACTTCTGACATTATTGTAAACATATCTAATATGGATGCAAGTGTCACAATGGGTGAGGATGCTTCGCATGTTGCAGATAAAAGTAAATCTTCGAATGTTACTCCAGACACAAATGTTTCTTTCTCTTCACAGGTTACACCTATCATTCAAACAACATCCACAACCGATTCTCCTACTTTTGCAACTATTATTCAACAACCATTCACATCTCTATTTTCTTCACAATCAATTAATCCACCTACCACTACTTCACCAATCATAGATTCTTCTTTCATGGACACTGAACAGGAGTCTGAAGGTTTTGGCGGAACCTTTGAAAATTTAGAGTTTGATGAATAAGAGTCAGAGTTTCCAGATCATATGCTAATGACAATGAAACAGTTCAAGATATTGAATACCAAACTCAATTCAATTCTTCAGTCACAGGAAGATCTTGGGGGAGGTAATTCAGTAATAAGTCTTGAAGTAGATGGTATGATGAAGATGATTGAAGGGAGGCTTTCTTTGAAAGTGTCTCAAATGATTAAGGATTCTGAGTCTTGTCTTCTCGAAAAAAATTGGCATTTGCGATCAGAATAATGAGCTGAGGGTCAATGCTCATAAATCTACATTTAATGGTGATCTGAAGGAGTTAAAGTCAGTTGCGAAGGAGAGACATATTTTGTTTATTCAGGATGTGAAGAAGGTGCGAGAAGATGTCAATTACAAACTCCAAGAACTGCACCAAGAAATGGAGAAAGAGATTGCAAATGTTCGTACTGAATTTGCATCTCTAAATCGAAAGGTGGATATCATATGCGATGTTGTTACTAAATTTGCAAAGTTGTATGAAAGTTTGAGTCCTCAAATTGCTCAACTTTCTACAACTGAGAATAAAAATTTCATGGAGGTTTTTTCAATGCTAAAGGAGCTTAAAGCTTTATCTTCTGCACCTCCTTCGTCTTCTTTACTTTCTTTTGAAGATCTTATCAACAAATTTTCCAAATTCGAAGCCTTACTTCTTCAACAGTTGGCTCCTCTTTCTAGAATATCAAGCCTTCTTCCTACAATGGATGCCCCACCTGCTAGCACAAGGGTGCAAGGGGAGAAAAGAAAGTTGATGGTACGAAGGCTAGTGGCGAAGATGCGATGGTTGTAGGAAAGGTGTTTCCTTCCAAAATTCCAACTTCAAAACCAGTGATAGCAACTGCTGGTCCTATCACTTCTAAAATAGTTACAACTGTGCCAATTACAAGACCAATTTCGAAAGGAATTATGATTGGTAAATCTATTGACACCGGTAGAAGAGAAGTGATAGAGGAATCTGGTTCGAAGGAAAGGGGAAAGTTAATTCTAATTGAAAAATATAAAGATGAGAAGAAGGCAGAGGTTGAAGTAGAAGTAGAGAAGATGAGGATGATACAAAGCATTATGACTCAGAGGGCCAGTGATCCTCCTGGCATGAACAAGGGTGATCCATAGAAGAACTACAACTATGAAACAATTGAAGCCAAGGTTGCATTCAATCATATGTATTCATTTGAGAAGAAGCCTAAACAGAGTTATATTGTCACGAATACGGATGCAAGCCAATTGGACTTTCCAATTAATGAAATGATGTTCATCATGCCTCAATTCAAAGCTGAAAGTAAATTAAAGGAGAATGATGAAGGCACACATATGAAAATAAGATTTCATGCGGTTCTTGCCAAGCCTGCAGAAGAAGTGTGGTCCTTAGTCAAGATCAAGAAGATCATAAGTATAAAGAAGGATGTGGTCTTTGAAAACACAGTCCAAAACATGAAGTATATTGTGACCAGGACAAATGGAGATGTGTGCGAGTTTATTATAGCAGACTTCCCTTTGATGAACTTGTATGATCTTATACTAGTTGCATTACTGCTGAAGAAAATATCATTTTCATATCTCCAAAAGATTGAGCCTGATGAATACAAGCTGGGAGTTACTCACATCAAGATTTTCATCGAAAATTATTATGATTGTTTGGAAATCACTGATGTGGAGTTAGCTATAGCAAAAGGTTTGGAAATTACAGCACCAATGGCTCCTTTGAAGACTCAAGTAGACTTGAAGAAATATGAAGATGTTGAAATATGCTTGAAGCCTTTTGGCTTAGTCTTCTCTGGGAAGGACAAGTCAGGAAAGTCGAAGAGATTTTTGTTCCAAGCAAGTGAAGTTGAAAGATATTCTACTTCGTAATATACGAACTTAATTGTTCGTATGAACCATTGCAAGAAGAATAATGAAGGTGACAAGAAGGAACTTAAAAAGATTATCTCTTGGTATACTGAGATACGAAGAGTAATGATGTACTCCACTCAACTTCTTACAAACTGAAGTCTTCCACTCTGTTTACAAAGGGGGAGAATGTAAGGGTAGTTTGGTTGTAAAGAGTCGAAGTCTTGTATGTACTCTTCGTATGTTTTGATATCTATTTTACTAAGACATTTTATACGAAGCTTTGATATCTAGTCCTTAGTATATTTTTTGTACGCTTTTACTCTCCTATAAATAGGAGTCTTTACTAGAGTTAGATAATGTTTTTACAGTCTTGTCTACTTTTGTACTTTGTAAACCTAAAGTGTAATATTGAGCTGAATCACGATCTTATTTACATCAGTGTTCAATCTTTCATACAATTTCTGATTACTTACTCTGATTAATATTCAAACTCGATTCTTAGATTCTACAAAAGATGATCGGACAGCACTACTACTTGTAGAAGTAGTATTCTTCGGTAGATCTGGAAGATCTTTACAAAAACTGGGCTTCTCGCGGGCAGAGCTTCGGCTCGGGAATTGCACTTCTCGGGATCTTCGGGGCTTCAAGGATGATACCGGGGCTTTAGGGTATAAGTTGCACACAAAATGATGCAAAACAGGAGAGAGAGAAGAGAAATTGAGCAAATGAATCGGCTGCCCTCGCATGCCCTTTTATAGAGGCTGAAGCCTCGCATTACGTTGGGCGTAATGCTCCGGTACGCGAGGCGTACTCCGGATTCGTCATCGCTTACATCATCGGAGCACTTGAGTGCGAGGTGGTGCATGCATCGGGGTATGTTGGGCGTAGTTCGGATCAGATCAGTGACTCCTTAGGATATCCATCCGAATTAAAGATTAAATAATAAATATTAATTATTTAAAAATATCATAAATTCATATCTTCTTCATACGAACTCCGTTTTCGACGTTATTTATATCCACGCGTAGGTGAGTGCGGTGCGGTTCGGTGCGGTTATTAGCCAAAACCTCACCACTAACCACAAATACGGTTAATCCATTTTCAAAACCGCTTAGTGCAGTTATTTTTGCGATGCGGTTAGGCAGTTATTTTTGCGGTGCGGTTTTGTTTTTTCTGTGTTGCGGTTATTAACCACATGGATTTGGTGTGGTTATTTTGTGTGGTTTTTTTACCATAGTTTAGAGCTCAAACGGTTTTAAGAGTTCAAACATATTACTTGTAATAAAAAAATATGATGTATTAGGTAATTAACTTAAATCACAAACAATTAATATCTTAAAAACGTCAAATCAATAGTAATTAACAATAAATTTCTTAAAATTGTCTAATTTCATTATTTTTCAAAGTTAAACATAACAAAAAAAACATACTTTTGTTATCTAATATTTTATTCATCTTTAATTCATGAAACTTGTCTTATTTTTTGTATTTAATATATTAATAATTAATAAAAAAATTTGTATATAATATATGCGGTGCGATGTGGTTTTTTTGCGGTTTTTAAAAACTAATAACTGCACCGCACCGCAAATTTGCGGTTTTTGAAACACAGAAAACTTCACCATCGGTTTTTATTGCGGTTGCGGTTTATCGGTTGCGGTTATTGCGGTTAATTTTAGTTGCGGTGCGGTTTTTGCTCACCCCTAGGTGAGACTACGCACTACAACTTTCGTTTAGACTCCGTCGGCTAATTTTGACTTAATTTTTATTATTTGTTTTTAGTAGGCTGGGACAGGAAAACTCCGGTATAAATTCATAACTTCTTCATCTGACGTCCGTTTTTGTCTGTATTTTCACCGTTGGACTACTATCGATAAGATCTTCGATTCTCGTTTAGATTGTGTCGGCTAAAAACCACTTGATCTCAAATCGAGTATTCAGACTGCATACCGCTAAGTCGAAACTTCGAAAAATCATAACTTCCTCATACGAAGTCAGATTTGGGCATTCTTTTTATGTACGCCTAGTTTGCGCCAAAACTCGACGAGTAGTAGTGAGTGGAATCAAGGAAGTAAGAGTAAGGACTCGACAAGTTGGCGGGCCAACTCGACGAGTCAGGTCAACTGAATGTTGACTTAGACTAGGGGTAGGAGAGTCATTTTACCCTCAGTTTTATTATTATCAATATTTGATTGATGGTGCTCATGGATATTGTAGCCGGGGTGAAACCGGAGATGCAACAAACAGATTCCGGAGCAATCCTTTCAACAGCTAGGCTACGAGGTGAGTTTCCTTCCAGTAGGAACGGGTCTAAGGCCACAATGTCGGCCCGTTTAGTTAGTAGTAGTTTCCGTACTTCGGTCCGATGCAGTTTTTAGTGTGTTTGATGCCTTCGTGGCTTAGACAGGATTTATGTGTTATGTGTTATGGGCTACGGTCTGACGTAGTATGCAGTATATGAGTTTATGATCATGTGTGTTATGCTAGTTTATATGTGTTTATGCTATGCTACGATAAGTTAGTTCCGGACTTCGGTCCGATGCAGTCAGTTCCGGACTTCGGTCCGATGCAGCTAGTCCCGGACATCGTTCCGATGCAGGGGACAAGGTCCCAGACAGTTCCGGACTACGGTCCGATGCAGTTTTCGTGCTTCGGCCCGATGCAGTTGGGCAAGTCCCAGTACGTGTTTATATGTTATTGTATGGTATGTGGTAGTTTGGGGGAGCTCACTAAGCTTC